GCCCCTGCAGGCTATGGGACAGATGCCCAGGGAGCGCAGCAGGGCGGGGACTTGGAGTGGCTGCCGGTGGCGGCGTTGCTGCTGCAGCACCGAGCAGCAGCAGCAGCAGCAGCGGGCAGCAGCAGCAGCAGCAGCAGCAGCAGCAGCGGGCAGCAGCAGCAGCAGCAGCAGCAGCTAACTGTAACCACAATAGCCCTGGGGCATGCAGGGGGCCCTGCTGCTCTTCTGCTTGCCTGCGGCGCAGCAGGAAGGCGTTTCGCAACGCGCAATACGTGGTCTGCTGCTGCTGCTGCTGCTGCTGCTGCTGCTGCTGCTGCAGTTGTTATTCTCCGCTGCTGCTGCTGCTGCTGCTGCAGTTTTAATTCTTCGCTGCTGCTGCTGCTTGTGCAGTTTGCTGCTTCTTGCGGCGGCACCACTGCGTTTCCAGATAATCCAGTGCCCGTTGCTGCCGCTGCTGCTGCCTGTGCTGCTGCTGCTGCTGCTGCTGCTGCTGCTGCTGCAGGGTGAGCCTCAAGGCCCCTCCCATTTGCTGCAGCGGCACTGCCAAGGAAATTGCAGCAAGGGCGGAAGCGGCGCGCAGCGACCGCGAGCTGTACATACACTTGCTGCTGAACGCCGCAGCGCAGCAGCAGCAGCAGCAGCAGCAGCAGCAGCAGCAGCAGCAGCAGGAACTGCAGCAGCAGCGAGAGGCACGCCTGAGGCAGCTGGTTATTGACGGGGGCCTCCTTGATGCTGAGGAGGCGAAGGCACTCGGGCTAATAGACGAGGTCACCTCTTGCTGCTGCTGCTGCTGCTGCTGTTGCTGCTGCTGCTGCTGCTGTTGCTGCTGCTGCTGTGGTTGCTGCTGCAGCTGCTGCTTCAATTGCTGCTGCTGCTACTCCAGCTTCAGTCAAAAAGTTTCATCTTTTGCTGCTGCTGCTGCTGCTGCTGCTGCGCTGCGGATCCCAGGTGCTGCAGTAGCTGCGAGGCGTTGGCTGTTTAACCCGCAGCTGACCCGCCAGAGAAGCGCAGCAGCAGCAGCTGCTGCTGCTGCTGCTGTTGCTGCTGCAGCTCCCTTTGCGCTGCTTCCTGCTGGAAGGAGAGAAGCCGCTGAAGTCCCGCCTCAAAGCAGCAGCAGCAGCTGCTGCTGCAGCAGCTGCTGCTGCTGGCGAAGGCCAGCCCTGAAGGGGCGGCAAGTCTGTCCCGCGAACTCCTTGCAGCAGCAGCAGCAGCAGCAGCAGCAGCAAGTGGAGCCTCCGCTGCGCAGCACCGCGCCCGCCGCTGCGCCCACCGCCGCACCCGCTGCTGCAGCAGCAGCAGCAGCTAGTCGGGGTACTCAGTGAGGACTGAAGGGCGGACCATCTGGCGGCCAATGTGGCCTATCCAAGCTTCCTTGTCTTGCTGCGAATCTGCCAGCAGCAAAAAGCTTCTGCTGCTGCTGTCCACGCGGAAGGCGTTTTCCCGCTGCGTCTCCTCCTCCGCACTCTTCACCGTGCTGCAGTCCCGCAGGTACAGCACCTGCAGCAGCAGCAGCAGCAGCAGCAGCAGCAGCAGCAGCGGGGTGGGAGCAGCAGCAGCAGCAGCAGCGGGGGTGGGAGCAGCAGCAGCAGCAGCGGGGGGCGGCAGCAGCAGAAGGCGCAGCCGTTTGGGGGGAAATCCGCCACAAAGCTCTAAACAGATGCTGCTGCAAATGATTCGCCTGCTGCTGCTGCTGCTGCTGCTGCTGCTGCTCTGCTGCAGCAGGTCAGTAGGCCTGCTTCTGTCCTTATTTCAGCAGCAGCAGCAGCAACAGCAGCAGCTGCTGCAGCAGCAGCAGCAGCAGCAGAACTTGACAGTGACGGGAGACGCGGGTAGAGACAGAAAACACTTAAAAAACTTCGCTGCCAACGGGAGCGCCAAAGACTTAGGGTTTAGGGTTTAGGGTTTAGGGTTTAGGGTTTAGGGTTTAGGTTGGGCAGAGCCTCACGTTAGCCTTAACCCGCTGGGGCCTCCCCGAGCCCGAAAGCCCCAGCCCTCCCCAGCCCCAAACCCCAAACCCCAAACCCCAAACCCCAAACCCTAAACCCTAAACCCTAAACCCTAAACCCTAAACCCTAAACCCTCGCAATTACCTCTGTGGGCTTCTGCGAATGCACATCGGAGGTTTTGTAGCTGCACAAACACTGCGGAGTTAACACAAACCACCGCCGCCGCCAGTCCTTAAGATAGCGGCTTTGTTTGCTGAGCCAACCCTCTTTAATAACACTTCCTCGGGGGCCCCCGGGGGCCCCCGGGGGCCCCCCCTGAAGCTGCTGCTCATTTTGGGGTTATGGACGGGGGCCCCCGCGAGCGGAGAAGAGTGGCCGCGGGGGGGCGGCGGGGCCTCTTTTTGAGTCTTTGGGACTCAAAGGGAATTAAATTAAATAAATTGAATGCAGTTGCGCATAAGTCAAAGAAAATAAGCGGCGAAAGGCAGCAGCAGCAGCAGCAGCAGCAGCAGCAGCAGCAGCAGCAGCGGCGGCGAAGAACGGCGGAGGCGCTGCGGAGGATGGACACCGCAGCGCGTCGGCGGAAAGAAAAGGAATTCTTTGGGAATTTAATTTAATTTAATTTAATTTAATTTAATTAATGCAAATAAAACAAAGAAAGACAAAAACGCAGAGCGCAGACACCGAAGCAAAGAAGACACTCGCGGGCTGCTGTGCTGCAGCGGGATCTTCACGCAGCGAGGTGTACGTACACCGCAATTCGCTAGAACTCGCGGCTTTCCTTTCTCGACCAACAACACTTTTAAAAGTTTTTCATTTTAAATAAACTTCTAAAGTGCTGCTGCTGCTGCAGCAGCAGCAGCAGCAGCAGCAGCTGGCCATTTGGGTCTCAGCGCGCAGCTCTTCTACAGCTCACTGCAGCAGCAAGCAGCGCAGCAGCAACTTCACTGCTCCTCAGTTATATAAATTAATTCTTTTTACTTTTAAAATACCACTTTTAATAAATAATTTTAAAATGTAAAACTCCAAACTCCGAACAGCAGCAGCAACCCCCCGGACTCTCCACTTCACTTTCCAATTCGTGTTCTACGGTGTCTAAGAAGTCCATTTCTCTTCAATTAAATTTCCTTCTTTTTCATTTCTTTTTCGTTTTTTATTTTAATTTTTACTTCTCCAAGATTTGGAGAGCATTAGGCTTTGAAATAATAAATTAAAAAAACATCAAAAGAAAAGAATAAAAATGAACTTATATGTACAGCAGTGCCAACGCAGGCCAGCTGAGACGCAGCTATTTGCAGCCAGCCCCCAGCAGCAGCAGCAGCAGCAGCAGCAGCAGCAGCAGCAGCAGCAGTAGCAAGAAGCGCAGCAGCAGCAGCAACAAAACAAACTATCAAAAACAACTCTTTGCATTGCATCAGTCCAAAGAAAAGAACAAGAAAACAAATGCAGAAAGAAACAACAAGTGCTCCACAAAAGCACCCCAGAGGGGCCCCTCTCTGGGGGCCCCCAACAAACCTCTAGGGGGCCCCCTGGGGGCCCCTGGGGGCCCCCTAGGGGCCCCCTAGGGGCCCCCTAGGGGCCCCCAAGGGGCCCCCTTTGAGCACCCAAGGCCAACCTCGGGGGGCCCCCTGGTGGGTATGGGGGGGTTCAACTTACATAAAGATTGGGGGCCCCCTATTAGAGGGGGCCCCTGAAGGGGGCCCCTACTTAAACAGGGCCCCTGACGGGGGCCCCCTTAACTGAAGGGGGCCCCTGAAGGGGGCCCCCTAGCTGAAGGGGGCCCCTAATTAAGGGGGGCCCCCAATTAAAGGGGGCCCCTAATTGAAGGGGGCCCCTAATTAAAGGGGCCCCCCGAAGGGGGGCCCCCAGTTAAAGGGGGGCCCCTAATTAAAGGGGCCCCCAATTAAAGGGGGCCCCTAAAGGGGGCCCCTAATTGAAGGGGGCCCCTGAAGGGGGGCCCCCATCAAGGGGTTTTTGTGCCCTATGGCCAAAACGCACAAAAGTCTCTTCTTCTTCTTTATAAGCCTTAAGTGCTGCTTCTACCCGCTGCCTTTCAGATACCTGGCCCCTGCAGCAGCAGCAGCAGCAGCAGCAGCAGCAGCAGCAGCAAGGGAGCTGCAGCAGCGAATGCGGCGGCAGCAGCAGCTGCAACAGCAGCAGCGGCTGGTGCGCCAGGTGCCGCGGTAGCAACAGCAGCAGATCGGCGGCACGTGCAGCAGCAGCAGTAGTAGCAGCAACAGCAGCAACAGCAGCAGCAACAGCAGCAGCAACAGCAGCAGCAACAGCAGCAGCAACAGTAGTGGCAGCTGCAAAGACAGAGCCACAGGAGCTGCTGCTGCAGCAAATTGGTGACACAGGCTAGAACTGTCCCTGCAGCAGCACTTTGCACTTGCTGCTGCACTCGCAGCAGCAGCAGCGTTAGCAGCAGGAGCAGCAGCAGCAGCAGCACTAGCAGCAGCAGCAGCAGCAGCAGCAGTCACCTGTAGTAAGACACAAGTCTCCAAACAGCAACAGCAGCAGCTGCTGCTGCTGCCAGCTGCAGCCCAAGTCTCTCTTCAGCTCGCAGCTGCAGCGCAGCAGCTTTGGGTTTAGAAGACTCTGGGGGGCCCCCCTGGGGGGCCCCCCAGGCCTTTCCCCACCAGCCAATGGCCCCAAAGGGGGCCCCCAGCTGTACCCTGGGGTAGAAGCTAACAGGCAGCAGTGCTGCTGCTGGCCGACTTGTGCTGCTTGCTGCTGCTGCTGCTGCTGCTGCTGCTGCTGCTGCTTGTGCTTCCGTTTCTGCTGCTGCAGCAGGCGCGTCTTTCCCCCCCTGCTGCTTCCTCTTGAGCGCAGAGCCCGCAGCCACGGCTGCTGCTGCTGCTGCTGCTGCGGCGGTGGCAGCAGCAGCAGCAGCAGCAGCAGGGTTGGCAGCAGCGCAGCGCAGCAAGTGTGGGGCCCCAGCAGCAGCAGAGCAAAGCACTGCTGCGGAGAGCCGCAGCAGCAGCAAAGAAACATTAAAAGCAATTTGCTGCTGCAGCCGAGACACAAAGACAGAGCCGAAAGTGAGGGCCCCCGCGCAGAAGCTGCGTCCAGCAGCAAGCCACCGCGAATGCTGCTGCTGCTGCTGCTGCTGCTGCTGCTGCTGCTGCTGTGCGGGCTGCTGCTGTTCGTGCTGCTGCTGCTGCTGCTGCTGCAGTGCGTGCTGCTGCTGTTCGTGCTGCTGCTGCTGCTGCTGCTGCAGCTCCAGCTTTTGCTGGTGCTGCTGGATCTCCTGCTGCTCCTGGAAATGCTGCTGCCGCAGCTGCTGCTGCTGCAGCTGCTCAAGCTGCTCCTGCATCTGCTGCTGCTTCTGCTGCAGCACTTGCATCGATGGTACACCTCCTGCTGGATACCCAGCAGCAGCAGCAGCAGCTGCTGCTGCTGCTGTCCTTGCTGCTGCTGCTGCTGGCGGAAGCGTTGGACTTGCCCACGCTGCAATGGGGCGCGACCCAGCAGCAGAACCTGCTGCTGCTGCTGCTGCTGCTGTTCCTGCTGCTGCTGCTGCTGGCACCTGGCCCCAGCTTCGCACTGAGAAGAAGCTGAACACATTAGCAGCAGCAGCTGCTGCTTCCCCTGCTGCTGCAGCTGGCCGCAGCAAAGTGAAAGTGGAGGCAGCACGAGGAGGCCCTAAAGTGCTGTTGCTGCAGCAGCTGCTGCTGTTGCTGCTGCTGCTGCTGCTAAAGCGCCAGCAGCCCTGCGGCTGGCGCAGCAGGAATGCCTGCGCTGCGGGCTGTGCTGGTTCTGCTGCTGCTGCTGCTGCTGCTGCTGCTGCCTGGGGGTGCAGCAGCTGCTGGTGTGCAGTGCAGCCGCAGCAGGCCTGCAGCAGCAGCAGCAGCAGTGCTGCGAGAAGAGGAGCAGCAGCAGCTGCTGCTGCTGCCTCTGCCTTCCGCATCTGGGGCCCTAGCGCGTCTCTGGGTTTGCTGGGGGGCCCCCGGGGCCCCTTGCTGCTGCTGTCTTCCTTTGCTGCTGCAGCAGCAAATAACTAAAACTTCTGTAAACACTTTATTTTTAAAATAGAAAATATACAAAAGAGGGGCCCCTGTTGGGTACTAGGGGGCCCCCCGGACCCCCTCGAGGCTGGGGGCCCCCCAAGCCTGGGGGCCCCTGGGGGCCCCTGCTCTGCTGCAGCGCAGCAGCAGCACGCGCCGCTGCTGCTGCTGCTGCTGCTGCTTCCTCAATTAATTACCAATTTTAATGTTTTAAATTTATTTCTTTTGCTGCTGCAGACTCTAAAGCCCCTGCCAGCTCAGGGGGGCCCCCAAGCTCTCTCTTGTGCTGGGGGCCCCTCCCCAATACCAGTCTTGCTCAGCCCTTGGGGGGCCCCTGCAGCCTGGGGGCCCCCCAGCAGCTTCTCAAGCTTGCTGCTGCTGCAGCAGGGGCCCCCCAGCTGCTTCTCAAGACTGCTGCTGCTGCAGCAGGGGCCCCCCAGCTGCTTCTCAAGACTGCTGCTGCTGCAGCAGGGGCCCCCCAGCTGCTGCAGGCGAGGAGGGGCCCCACCGGGCCTCAGGTGTACAGACACCGCAGGGGCCCCCCGAAGCAAGAGCGATGCTGCCTCAGCTCTGCGCGCGGCGGGTTGCTGCTGCTGCTTCGGCGCTGCTGCTGCAGCAGCCGACTGCAGCAGCAGCAGCAGCAGCAGCAGCGAAAAGAGCAGCAGCAGCAGCATCAGCTGAAACGGCTGCAGCACTTTGGAAGACAAAACGGCAGCAGCTGGGGGCCCCCGCGTGGGGGGCCCCCAGCAGCAGCTTCTTCATGGCCCCCCTCTGCAGCAGCGATGCGTACGCGCAGCTGCAGCAGCAACTGCAGCAGCAACTGCAGCAGCAGCAGCAGCAACTGCAGCAGCAACTGCAGCAGCAGCAGCAATCTGGTTGGCCTGAGAAGCAGGGTATCTCCAGCTGTCTGCAGGCGCTGCAGCAGCAGCCACTGCCCCAGCAGCAAACAGTGGCCCTGTGGCGTCCCCGCCTATGCGAGCAGCAACAGCAGCAACAGCAGCAGCAGCAGCAGCAGCAGCAGCAGCAGCAGCAAGGTCTGCTGCTGCGCCGCGACAGAGGGGGCAAAATGAAAACAAAAATGAGAAGAATAGAAAGAAGAAGAAGAAGAGCGGAGGCCCTCAAAAGGCGCCTGGGGGCCCTGGGGGCCCCCCAGGGCCCCACAATGAACCCTATAAAGCAGCCCCTGGGGGCCCCTGGGGGCCCCCCGGGGGGCCCCCCGGGGGGCCCCCCGGGGGCCCCCGGGGGCCCCCAGGGGGCCCCGGGGGCCCCTAAGGGCCCCCGAAAGCTGGGCGATGTATTTATTATTCATTAGCAGCAAAAAGAGACAAAAGAAATAAACAAAAAGACACAAAGTGACGGCCCCACAGTGTCTAGACACCCCAAACCCCACAGTGTCTAGACACCCCAAACCCCACAGTGTCTAGACACCCCAAACCCCACAGTGTCTAGACAGTGGGGGGCCCCAGCTGCTGCAGTGAGGGGCCCCCCACTGCTGCTGCAGTACTGGGGGGCCTCCAGCTGCTGCAGTGGTGGGGGGCCCCCCCTGCTGCAGTAGTTTGGGGCCCCCTCAGCTGCTGCAGCGGTGTTCGCGTAGCTGCTGCTGCAGTGTGGGGCCCCCCTGCAGCTGGGGGCCCTTTGGGGGCCCTCAGGTTAACCCTTTTGTCTATTTCTTTGCCTCGAGGCTTCACAATTTGCTGTAGTCCCTGCTGCTGCTGCTGCTGCTGCAGTTGCTGCTGCTGCTGCTGCTGCTGCTGCTGCTGCTGCTGCTGCTGCGAACTCTACTGAGGCACTGCCAGCAGCTGCAGGGCCCTCAGGGCCCCCAAGAGATCTGCGGGCAGAGGGCTGGGGACTTGGAGGCCCTCTAATGTGGGGCCCCCCTTGGGGGCCCCCTTGGAGGCCCCTGTGGGGGCCCCCCGGGGGCCCCCAGACCCTTTCCAGGAGCCCCCAGCCAGACCCAGGTAGCAGCAGTGCAGGAACAGACGGGGGCACCACTCGCGGTCAGACACGTAGGCAGCGGGGTCTGCAGCAGCAGCAGCAGCAGCAGCAGCAGCAGCAGCAGCAGCAGCAAGACTAGCAGAGACTGGAGACCCGGCAGCAACAGGAAACAGCAGCAGCCTTGAAAGCAGCAGCGCCAGCAGAAACTGCAGCACCCTGCGAACTGAGAGTCCCCACGTGCGCCTGCGCAGCAACCTTTTCAGCTGCTGCTGCTGCTGCTGCTGCTGCTGCTGCTGCTGCTGCTGCTGACCTGTTTGGTACTTGTAGTCTGCAACAATAGGGTGTTTGAGAGCAGCAAGATGGACTCGTATTTGGTGAGTGCGGCCGCTCAGCAGCTTCGCCAGAAGAAGGCTGTAGGCCCGCCCTGCAGACACACACACTGCTGCTGCTGCTGCTGCTGCTGCTGCTGCTGCTGCTGCTGCTGCTGCTTTGGGGAGGCAGGCCACACCACAGGCTCTGCAGCCTCACCGTCTCGCTGCAGGTAAAGAAGAGGGCGAAAGAGAGTCACGGAGGGCTGCACGCAGAGACAAAGGCAAAGCCTCTTGAAGCTGCAGCAGCAGCAGCAGCAACAGCAGCAGCAGCAGCTGCTGCTGCTGCAGCAGCAGCAGCAACAGCAGCAGCAGCAGCTGCTGCTGCTGCTGCACCAACTGGCGTTGTGCCAAGAACAGCAAGTCGGAAAGAGGCAGCGGCTGCAGCACCAACAGCAGCATCATAGACAGCAACAGCAGCAGCAGCAACCAACAGCACAGCAACAGCAGCAGCAGCAGCAGCAGCAGCAGCCAACAGCAGCAGCAGCAGACCTACCTTTCCCTGTGAGCTGCAGCTGCTAAACAGCAAGTTGTGAGGGGGGCCCCCCTTTATGGTTTCTATGGGGCCGCTGAGCCCCCAGAAGCCCTGGGGGCCCCGCAGCAGCAGCAAACCCTGGCTGGCTGCTTCAGAGCCAAGCAGCTCGCCTGCGCCTTGAACCTGCTGCTGCTGCTGCTGCTGCTGCTGCTGCTGCTGCTGCTGCTGCTGCTGCTGCTGCTGCTGCACGAAGCCGTGGACAAGACACAGGTACAGCTTGTTGAGTCTGTGGGCTTCGAAGTGCATGCGAGCCAAATGGAAGCCCCGCGCAGTCTTCGCCACGAGAAGGGGCCCTGAGGCGCAGCAGCAGCAGCAGCAGCAGCAGCAGCAGCAGCAGCAGCAACAGCAGTAGGGGCCCCCAACAGCAGCGGGTATTTACAGCCGCAGAACTGTAGCTGCTGCGGCAGCCAGGGGGCCCCCTCGTGGGGGCCCTCGATGTACCCTTAACAGCAGCTTGGGGGCCCCTCTGTGACTCCAGGGGCCCCCATTGGGTCCTTAGGGGCCCCCTTGGGGCCCCCAAAAGTCCCCCGCCCCTGGGGCCTCTGGGGGCCCCTGGGGCCCCTATAGGTCCTTTGGGGCCCCTGGGGGCCCCTGGAAGCCCCTGGGGCCCCTACAGGTTCCCAGGGGCCCCTGGGGGCCCCTGGGGCCTCTAAACGTTCTCAGGGGCCCCTGGGGGCCCCTGGGGCCTCTAAAGGTTCCTAGGGGCCCCTGGAGGCCCCTGAAGCCCCTGTAGATTGCTGGGGGGCCCCTAGGGGCCCCAAGGGCCCCGTAGTTGGTGGGACTTACCACTAGTTTCGCAGTCAAGTCTGTGGGTGCAGCCTGAAGCAAGAAAAGGGTTTAAAAGGACCTTCCCGAATTCCTCTCCAGCTGAAACTCCCTCGGGGGCCCCCTTGGGGGGCCCCCTTGGGGGGCCCCCCTCTCTCCTTGGCCCCAGGCTGTGCCCCGGGGGGGGCCCCTGGGGGCCCCTGGGCTGCGCGGGGGGCCCCTGGGGCCCCCCGTGCTGCTGCAGGGGGGCCCCCGGCAGCAGAGGGCACTTTTTTTCAGCATATCGGGCCCTCAGAAACAAATGAAGTGGCTCAGGCCTTCCGCTGTTTAGCAGCTTTTCGCTAAGCAGGGGGCCCCCCCCTGGGGCCCCTTGGGGGCCCCCCTCTGGGGCCCCTTGGGGGCCCCCCCCTGGGGCCCCTTGGGGGCCCCCCCCTGGGGCCCCTA